ATGTTTTCTCTAACTGAGGTACAATGAAATTTTGTAACTATTCGAGGCAACGTCATTTTCATGAATTTTTAAACGTTAGGGAACTCGACAAATAACTTCTGTAACTTCAGAAAAGTTTTGGCGAAAAGAATTTGGACCCGTGGAAACGCGTGTGTTGTAGTTTTAATCGAGAGTTTCGAAACGAGTTGAAACCTTAATCGTTCCGGACACGCAAATGATACGTGCAACTTGTTAGGTGGTGGCTGAATACGATTGTATATTGCATTTCTCCAAAATTGAAGGGGTGACTTCTTCCTAAGGTATTTGCTGCGGCGCTATGTCCGTTGCTGTGCCCTCAGACAATTGCGTCTTGATGACTTTCTTTCTGTAAGGTTTCATCTACGGCTGGACGGCCATCATATCATGTAGTCTCTTGTTTTCCTTTATGAAATCGCACTCATTTATCTACCGATTGCCTCAACTGGCATTCGAAGCAAGACATATATTATGATGAACAGAAATAGCAGGAACCAAAAGTTCATGGTACAGGCTCGGGCGTCGAGAGGGCCTTCGTTCAGCAGTAGGTCAAAAATGTTGACGGTCTTTCGATCCTCTCCTGAGTAAAAGCCCATTCGGAGACTAGTATGAATTTCTGTTTTCCGCTCTTTACGTACCTCATAATTTATTGTACTTTAACTTTCCTAGTTTATTTTGCCATCAATCCGGAAGGCCGTTCACTACTTCTTTTGCAACCCAACATAATGTCTCTCTGATCCGTAATATTGGTTTGGAATATCAAAGGACATCGTCATAAATGACCAAATTGTGTGTATTTGCAAAGGTAAACTTTCCTTAGAAGTGGCGATTCGTCCCAAATAAAGGTTAAGAACCACAGAAGAATGTTTCGACAACCATACCGTCCCCCTTCCTTGCAGCTACCTGAAACATAGGATTTTAACGTAAATTTTCAGGTGATCAAAGTAGAAATGGGCCATCGGCGGAGGGGGGCGAAGAAACGGTGTCATGCTTAAAGACAACATGACAACGGAACGGTAAGAGCGCAAACCGCATCCAGGAAGGCAAATCTGCTTGCAGCTAGGTGAAAAGCGTCACAACGGCACATCCCTCACGTAAAACTGCCAATGAAAAATAGGAGAGGTATTCTAATTAGAGAACCTGAAAACTCACCTACCGTAAACGTAGACTATTCGTAGACTTTACTGTCGATGACCAGAAAGACTCTGTGGAAGGATGATGCCCAGGTGAACGATCCTGCGCCATTCTAGCCCCTCCAGCTCTTGCATGTTAGGCTTGACTCTGTAGATTTATGAAGTACTCATAAACAGCTGATAGGCAGGTTTGCTTCAGTTTAAAGTGATTTGTTCGTCCATCAGTAATTCGCCATCCAAAAAAATAACATTTTCGGCATTCGCAATTATCACTAAGCCGCAGATGCACTGGATGGCATCAGATTTCGATCACACAAGATGTCAGATCACGACTGGCGCATTTGCCTCCATCGGCATGTTTCTGTGAACGGCTTTTGCCCAACGCCGCCGCCACCTTAAGGAAATGCAACTCGGCGCCATCCAATTTGATGCCGGCGGTGATAATGGCTGCAAATTAACGAAATGCCAGTTGTTCGCGTTCGTCCGTCGTTGCTCAACGAATGGCTGGAGCCAGGAGTGGCCGTGAAGCTCCGGAGAGGACTGCTTCGCGAACGTAGCAAAAAACCGCTCACATTAAGCATCAAAATTTAACTTCTGATCTTGTCACTGATCTGATATCGTTGGCTAATGGTGCTTGGAGAGAAATCGACCTCTCGGGGTCACTTGTTCTCCGAGGTCCAAACATTCGAACATCCGACGACTCAATTCGACATTCCTCCATTCTGCTATTTCTGCAGTGCAATCTTCAGATTTGGCACGTCGATTTCATCTACCACTGTCGTACGTTGCCCTTCAGAAACGTCTGTCCGCCGCAGTTTCACATGCGGATGATTAAAGAGTGAAATAAATGTCAGAGATCCATTTTTGACCTACGAAAAAAAACTTTCTGACGTTTTCCCTAACGAAAGTAGAATCCAGTCACAGAAAGTGCCAACCTTCCATTGGTTGCATTTTCATAATACACTTAGTAGTAATAAAC